ATCCATAGTGAAAGGCTACCATTGTTGGAACTGAAATCCAAAGAATCATTGACAGCGCGTATATATTGAATACAAAAAAAAAATTAAAACCTTACATGGCCAAATTAGGGTTTACCTTCGAGATAGCTTTGGATTGATTTCGTCTCAACACGAACGCAGAAACTACCAACAAATGTGGAAGACAACTTGATGAACCTCATGGCCTTTTGTCATATTCCCCAGCGTCAAAATTTGGATGCAGTGTGAGTTGCAAGGACCTCCGAACTTCTGCACTCTCTCAATCTGTCTTTAATGTGGGTAATCAATTGATGTTGATTTAGAGAACCTAAATGTCTATATATAGGCTACGACAGAAACCCTAAGAAGCAATAAGGACCGGACTTCTAATGGGCCTAGGATTCCTATGTTCAACCCAGAACAAACATTCTACAGTCCATTAATAATAAGTTAGTCCACTAAAAGCTTACTATTGATCTCTTTAGCCTTATCTTAAAATTATATTTGAGCTTCTTAATCATTGCTTAATAATCTCTCCACGTTTAAGATTATAGATGTCTATCAATTAAATAAATTATTGACAATTATATTTAATTGATTTCTTTTATTCATTGAGACCTTACCACTCAACTTATTTGTCATATCGGATAATTAAATACACCTGCAGGGTTTGACATGAACAAAATTTATGAGTTTCCTCAAGAGAACGTTATCAATCCATTCAAATACCAGGACATGGATTTACTTAATAATTAATTTTCACCATACAAATAATATTATCTCTCAATTCACTGAGTTTATTGACTTAATATAAATCTCACTATTTGATGAATTAAAGTGACAAACATTATATGCATGTGGCAATTAAATATTTCAGAATTAGAAGTATAAAAAATCATAATAATCATAAGGTATTTATTATCTTATTGAATCAATAAGATAATAACCTCAACATGAATTTGTTCAATACACAAAGTATACCAGTGCAATAATTCGAGATATCAAACAATCTCTTATAGTTAAAACAGACTACATCATAATATTACACTATAATCATATTGATGGTGTGTCCAATTTTATCTAGGATTGTGAACCTATACTCATATTATACAAGGATCTGATAATCTGGTCTTCTGTTCATAAACAGAACTCTACATACCAGATTATCTACAATATAAAAAATAAGATACATACATACCATATATCAAATATAATGCAAACATTTTGCCTACATAAATACTTAATAAAATAGAATGAACAAACTTCAATTAATTAATAAAACGAGTTTCACTACAAAATATAAGGTTTTAGTATGCAACTCTATCGGTCATATCATCTGCAGGATAACAATGTCAATTGTTGTTATACTTTGAAAAAAAATTTGGCAAACAACCAATATATGAGAGCAAGGAATTCTGTAAATTGTCCATTTACCACATGTGTATGACCGATCTTCAAGACACACAACTTGCTTCTGACCACCACTAGTTACCATTTCAGCAAGACTACGCTCCTATGAATGGCGTCACTTCGTGGACACGATTTATTTGTTGTGCATGTTGTATTCGTTTCACAATATTCTTAGGGAATTCCAACCCATTTTATTTTTATTTTTCCACATTATCTTAACGTTTAAAATGATACTTAATGACCCGATAAAATATCGATTACACACAATCAATTATGGACTAATACCTAGCACTTCAGATAACACTATTAAAAATCTCAGAAATGTTGGTTGTCATTATGTCATATCGTCGTCCACCATCATAGGCTAATGTCTATTTCTCTATTGGTATATTGTTCAACTACTCTATCGTTTCCTCTTTGACGTTGCATTTGTAGGTCATCAACGCATCGAACTTGTGAACCAGTCTTGGCTTGCCAGCCCTCCAAATAAGATCGCACAAATGGTCATCCTTAAATTGTATATTAAAATTACTATGCACATGCCGAAGATAAAAGTGATGATAAGCATATAGTGGATGCCGCCCAAAATTTTTCATGTTCACAGTAGAAAGGATCCCCACGTGCCTATTAGAAATTAAACATATCCCTTGCCGATGTCTAAGAACTATCCACCAATGGTAATATAGGAAAATAAACTAACTTGATTGATTCTCTTCTTCCACTATAGCAAATGCAATAGGAAATAGTTGCTTATTAGATTCAAAACCTGTCACTACTAATAGCTTTCCCTTGTATTTGCCACGCAGAAATATCCCATCAATACTAACAACAGATTGACAATATTTGAACCCTTTAATACTAGCCTTGAATGCCAAGAATACTTGAAAAAAAAATTATATTCAGCAGATTCATAGTTGTACCGCCACTTCACAATCGAGTCAGGGCTATACTTCTTGATGGCACCCAAAAACTTAGGCAATATGTCATATAACAAGTCTTAATCACTGAAAATCTTGGCAATGGCCTTATTCCTCGCAATCCATACTTTTTTGTAGGAAATATCATACTTAAACTTCTCTTTTATATTCTTCTAAATTGTTGACATTTTTGTTTGTAGGGTATCATCAACAAGTCCTAATATATTATGACATATAAAGTTAGAGTCTAATTGCTTATAGTCGCGATTCATTCGAGGGTAGAAGATTGTATGAGGTCTATCATATTTCGTGATCTGAAATATTTTGAGTTTTTTTCTAAAACAAGAACGTTGTCTCCACTGACAGTTAGGCTACATGTACATGTTGCACTGTATAGCCCATATCGTTGTGTTCATCTCGACCACAACATAATCTTGATTCAGCTTGATGGAATACCATTTAACCGCCCTAATCAATGAAGCTTTATTCTTAAAAATCATGCCCTTCACCAACTCCATCTTTACCGGATCTCACAAATTCAATTCAGAAGATGGTAATAAGTTATCTGCTCCAGAATGCTAACTAAATTTAGTGGTTGTGAAGGAGATGGAGTAAGGCTTATGCATCTAAACCTCCGTGCCAGCCTCAATGTTTTCATCATTCACATCTTCATCATCTGGCTCAGTAATCATGAATTTCTCGTACTTTTCTTCTTCATCATCATCAGGGACATCTATATGATTATTTGCACACATTTCTTCATATTCTCGAATTGGGCTTTGTTGCATTATTGGTTCATGGACATCATCTTATTCCCCGAACACAATCCCCTCCTCACCCATTTGAAAATTATGACTCAGTGCATTATTGGTTGAGTACCCATCATATGTATCAAAGCCAGAATACTGGTGGGGGTTCAAGTACTGCCCAGACTCATCCATGAACTACATCCCCATGGGAGTGGAACATTCACCAGTCCAACCGAAAGTTGAAAATATAAAGGTACCTATCTCTCGTCTAAGCAAGACAATGGTAGTGGTGGTTAGGCACCCTCCGGTTTGACTACTGCCTATGACAGCATTAATATCCTCTATTTTCACGTATAAAGCGACACTAGCAATGCTAGGGTTGTCAAGTACCATATTAACCAAAGAAGTAACAAGTTCATCATTCGCAATTTCCAAACCGACATATGTATTCAGTTTAGTCCTGCTCCAAGTGTAAATAGATATTTACATGTCAACTTCAACTTACTATGTGACCTGTCCAACCCCATTACAGTGTAAATTTTACTCAATAACTCTGGTAGCTTTGTGTCACTATTTATAACAATTCCACATTTGGGAGGACAATCGTATGATAAACCATCTGATGCATATTCCATGTGTCCACCCAAATACAACAAAACGGAAACTTGTTTTTTCGCCATTTCAAACAGTTTTCGTCACGGAATAAGTACTGAATTCACAAAAACCTAGGGATGGATAGAAAGAGTTAATACTTGAGAAAAAACATATCGATAGTAAACAAAGTCCCATGGAATTTATCCACAAAACATAGAAGAATTGATAAAATAAAAAACCTTAGAGCTTGAAGTGTACAACTAGGAAACTAAGAAAAATAGAGATCCAATTAGTAACGGGAAGTTTGAAAAAATAATCCCCAAAAGAGTGTAGCTTTTAACATGTTGTTAGGAATTCAATCTTAAGTCAAACATGTTATCATAAAGGCAAACAATGTAGCTGATTTTTTGGCTTACAAGGCAATAATTGACTTACATTTATAACTCTATCACAATTATCAAGACTTTCCAACTCAAGGATGACAACACTTTCTAACTCTATCGTATTAGCAATGAATGCAAATTGTTGAGGAAAATTGTGTTGTTTGATGACTAAGAGATATAACTACGATGCTTCGAATGAGATTGATAGAGAGATGGTTAAAGCTAAGCTGAATTATTATTATATTCTTTTAAATTAAAAATTCATCTTTTGTACAGATGTTGAAGTACAAAGGACTGAATGAGGAAGGAATGAATAAGTACTTAACAGAAGTAAGATTGAAGCAATACATTATTGGTAAAGATGATTTCTCAATTAAATATCATCAACAAGACAAACTCCAAAAGTACATGACTATGTTAACACAAAACAATGCAAACTGTGATTAGCAAATTAACTGTGCAAATTACTGTGGTGAACAAGAATAATATCGATTAGTAAATTAACATTTTAACATGTTAAGTATAAGGAAAAACATGAATCAACATGCATATTGTTGAACCAACTAAGGTCTTACGTTGTCAAACCACAAATTGATGAATAAAACCACAATCACCGGTTCATATTGATGAATGAAACCACAATCACAAGCATATCAATGAATCAACCCACAAATTAATAGTCCATATTGATCAATCAAACCACAAAATAACAATCCACAAACCATGAATTATACCGCAAATTAACATTGCATATCAATGAATCAAAACATAAAATAACTTTGCCCAAAACATTAATAAAAAAAACAACATAATAGTGCACAAAACAGTGCACATTGATGAATCAAAGAACATAACGGTGCACATAACAGTGCACAAATCATTCGTCAAAACAAAAAATAACAATGCATAAAAACATACATAACTACAACAATAATCGCAACATACAACAGATGGATCAAACATTGACAGCATACTGTGAGAGACAGAGTCAGTCACATACATTGGGGAATCCAGTGGTCTTCAACGAATATAGGAGCTCCGGTGGTCTTCAACCCAGCAACTCTGATGGACTTTCAACCCAAAAACTCCAGTGGAAACAAATAGTCAACAATGGTGATTTTCCTGGGGCTAGGACTAGGCTAGTGGTTTCCGATGGTGGTGGTTTTGGGCTGGGGATTTTCGATGGTGTTGGTGCTAGGGGTTTCAGATAGTGGTGGTGCTGGGTTTGGGAGTTTTGAATGGTGGTGGTTCTAGAGCTATAGGATAGTGATGGTGGTGCTGCTAGTGGTTTCAGATAGTGGTGGTGTTGGGGTTGGGGGCTAGTAATGGTGGTATTGCTAGTGATTTCGTATGGAATGGGGGTTGTTGATTTCGAATTTTGTATCTCAATTTGAGGAAAATGAGAGAATAAAGGCAGAAGGGAAAGAAGATAAGGAGGGTCAGAGAGCAAACGCATAAAACGTTGGTTGAACCAACGTTTTTAAGAAGACGTTGGTTAGAACAATATTTTATGTGACTTTTTTAAAAAATAAAATGTATTTTAAAGACGTTGGTTGGAATAATGTTTTTACATAAAAGCATCAGTTGCACTAATATTTTTAGTATAAACACGTCAGTTGGAATGATGTTTTTAAAATTACTTGGGTTTGAAAAATAGTTTGAAAACTACCTTCTTTCGGGTATAACTTTCAAAAACCTCATGGGTTCGGGGTAAAAGCTCCTTTATAATGTGACTAGCAATCCGAAGGAAACTCAGCACCAAAGATAGGATCCAAAGCGTTGCAGCTCATTTTAGCACCCAATGCATATTGTGTAGTGAAACAAATGAAACCCATGACCATTTCTTTTTTACTTGCACTTACTCTCAAAGGCTCTGGAAATCCACCATCTCTTACAATAATTCATAGTGGCTGCCAAGGCCTTTGAGAAATTTCATTGGTTGGGTAAGTCAGAATTAGAAGGGTAGATCTATGCACAATGTCATCCTTTAAGTTATTCACATAGTCTACTATATTTGGAAAGAAAGAAATTTTTGTAAAATATGGAGAGAAATCTTATAGGAAAAAAAATGAAGAGACTTAAATTGTATTTTTTATTCACTTTGGCTCATTTCTCTCTCGCTAGAATCAAATACTTACATAGGTATTTATAGGATTCTAGAATACATGCATATCACCAATACATGCACCATCCAAATACATGAATCTAGAATACTCCAAAACATTGAATAAAGTTTAATACTCAACACTCCCTCTTAAACTTAATTCCTTGTAACTCCAAGCATTACCCGCAATTTGGTAAAAGTGTCATACTTGAGAGGCTTCGTAAAAATATCTGCAACTTGATCATGGGTCTTCACATACTTTACCTCCACCTCATTCTTTGCAACACATTCACGAAGAAATTGATACCTCATATCAATGTGCTTGCTTCTATCATAGAACACCGGGTTTTTTGCCAAAGCAATGGCCGACATGTTATCCACAAAAATTTTTGTAGCCTCTTTTTATGGTATTTGCAATTCTCTCAATAATCTTCTCAACCAAATTGCATGACAAACACAAGATGTAGCCGCAACATACTCTGCTTCACATGTAGAAAGTGTTACAATTGGTTGTTTTTTCGAACTTCAAGTGAATTTTGTATTCTTCGTGTAAAAAACAAAACCAATAGTGTTTTTTCGGTCATCTATGTCTCCGGTCCAATCACTATCACTATACCCTACAAGCTTAAATTCATTAGAAAATGAATAAAACAAACCATAATTAATTGTGTTTTTGATGTACCAAAGAATCTGTTTTGCCGCTTTGAAATGTGTCGTGGTCAGCGTCTCCATAAACTGACTAACAAGCCCAACTCCAAAAAGTATATCCGGTCGTGTGCAAGTCAAGTATCTCAAACTTCCAACTAAACTTTTGAAAGTAGTGGTGTCTGCCCGCTCACCTTCTTCATTTTTGGACAATATAAGTCCACATTCAATCGGAGCGCTCACGAATTGACAATCCTCGATTTTGAACTTCTTTAGAATCTCCTTAGCAAATATTTCTTGGGAAATAAAAATCTCATCATCCGTTTGTTTGATCTCAATGCCAAGATAATAAGACATGAGACCAAGGTCGGTCATTTCAAACTTCTTTGTCATTGCTTGCTTGAACTCTCCAAACATATTAGAATTATTACCCGTGAAAATTAAATCATCAACATATAAACAAATAAGTAAAATATCTCCATTTTCACACACCTTAACATAGAGAGCATACTCATGTGGGCACTTGATAAATTCATTCTCTAGGAAATATTTGTCAATCCGGCTATACCATGCTCATGGTGCCTCTTTCAAGCCATATAAAGCTTTCTTCAACTTTAACACTTTGTCTTCATGGCCTTTGATCACATATCCTAGAGGTTGTTCAATATAAACCTCTTCTTCAAGAATGTCATTCAAGAAAGTCGATTTCACATCCATTTGATAAATCTTCCACCTTTTTTGAGCCGCAAGTGAAATGATCATTCGGATGGTCTCTAACCGAGCAACGAGTGCAAATACTTCACCATAATCAATTTCAGGACGTTGGCTATAGCCCTTTGCTACCAATCTTGCCTTATATTTCTCCACTTCTCCATTTCAACAATAAATGACCATCTCTTTTTTACCTGCACATACTCTCAAAGGCTTTGGAAATCCATTATCTCTTACAAGAATTCATAGTGGCCGCCAAGGCCTTGGAGAAATTTCAATGGCTGGGTAAGTCAGAATTAGAAGGGCAGATCTATGCACAATGTCATCCTTAAGTTATTCACATAGACTACTATATTTGGAAAGAAAGAAACAACAATGCTTTCACCAATCAATGCAGGGACTATAACTCTACTAAATTCCATCGAATCCACTATCAAAGGCAAGCTAGTTTCATCAAAGTTTAAGAGCACTAATGCTAACCAAATTTTGATGCAACCCTGGTCACTTCCTTAAAAATGTGTCAAACAACACTAGCTGATGATTTGGACCCATATCATGCTTTTGCGAGCAACAAGACACTATTCCTATTTGTTGCCTATTGCTATCAGTTGGCTGTTTTGGATGCTTGAACACTTGTAGTGCTTCATGATCTTTCATTCTACCAAGTGATGCTCTGTCGAAGTAAGATTCTGTTGGAAGTATTGGCTTAATAAGTATATTGCCTTCAGAATTCTATCTCGTAGAGTCTCTTTCTTGTTTATGTTGTATTTGTATACAAATTGTTATACTAGGCTAAGCTTAATGTATTTTGTTGAAGGCTCTGCCTTATTTGTACATTCTATGGTTCCCATTAATAAAATTTTTACTTTCTGGAAAAAAGAAAAAAAAAACCTTGCACCCTTGTTTTCTACTTTGCGAGCCTTCACTGCTTCTTTCTGTAACTTCCCTTCTTTCATCCATCTACAACCAATAGATCCATGGTGCTTGACAGGAATTTAAATTTCATTTTTCCACGTGGTTGCTACTAATGCAAGGTGCATTTGATTTAGAAGAAACAACAATATCACTTACACTAAAGGTTACCCAAAAATTCTACTTGTGTAAAGCTTTTTAGTTTTTCGTGCTTAAGAGTTCCTTTAAATGACAAGAAAAAGTAAATGGACATAAGCTATAACAATCGCATTATTGAGTTTATCTATTGTCATGTTTTATCTACTAATGTGTATTTTATGTTACTGACTTGCTTGGGTCTAATTAGTTCAGAAACTGATTGTGCCATCCTCTTTTGTTGTGAAGTGTGAAACATGTTATGGCAAAGTATAGACTACAAACAGACAATCTGGGAAAACAAAACCAGCCATCTTACGAGCTGCAGGTAAATTTTGTTGTTCTCTAGTTTTTATGCACTAGTTGAGGTTTAAACAAGTGCCGAGTAAAACTGAATCATCCAGCCATGCTATTCGAAAAATAAATAAGGATTTATATGAAGAATGAGAAAAAAGACTTAGTTTTCCATATGAAACTATCTGCCACTAATGAAAGTTTCACTGGAAATCCTCCAAACAAACGAAATTATGAAAAACAAAGTGGCAAATTAAAGTTTGGAATTAAGGCTGGACTTTCTGTAAATAGGTTGTTGGTCAATGTGCTTGTAATAGCAAAGCATGGTTGATATATAACACCCTTTTCTGAGATTGTATCAGCCAGTTGATCTAACTTTAGAGCTTCTTGGGTTCAATCACAACATGGGTTAGGCTGGAGTCTAAATCTATAACTCATGATCTCAATTGATATATGGTGTATGATGGCTCGGTTTCTATAGTGGGTTTGCTCCTCCAAGTCTCTCAAGATGTGGAAGGAGTATTTTGAATTTTTAGTCATTTAGTCTTCGAGTTTATTTATTTGTAGTCTAGGTTTTTTGAGCTTTCTCTTATACGATTGCTCTAATTACTTATTAGGCTTGTTTTGAGCTATATTGTATATCTTCTGATTTGGAAATAAATTTTATTTAATTACCAGGGAAAAAACCCCATAGAGCTTCTTGATATTATGATGCATATAGAGTGAATACCTTATCCATCCAATTTTGTTTGGAGTCATGAGCTGTAAACCTATAATACGAGTAAGAAGCACATTGCACATTATCTTCTTTTTTTGTTGGGAAACACTTATTGCAAAACATCTACAATGAAATCGAAAGGTACTTAAATCGCATTTTGAAAAAAGTTTAATCTAGAGTGACTTATAATTCTCATGATCCAATCCCTAAAAGCATAGTATAACATGGGAGCATCCAAAGACACCCCCTAGGCTTCCCAAGGCAGGCAGTGCCCTCTTACTTTACACAATGAGCCAACACTACTTGCTGTTGTCATACAATCTCCAAGCTCGATTAACCATTTAAACTGAGTTCAATGTTCTAGCAAACGCCTGAATATTATGTGGCATCAGTTGTTCTCCGAAGTGTTATCAAAACATGCAACTGGAACGTGTTCCTTACATTAGAAAGTTAAAGGAAAATAGTAAAACGGACACAGTTTTTCATTAATTTTGTGACAGATTATATATTGCAGTAATATTTTGCTAATGGGAAACCTGGCATTTTCTTTTTTAGCTTGAGAATACTAGATATGCCATGTTGAGAAAAGAAGTTGCAGAAAAGACCCATGAATTGAGGTATAGCTGCATTGCCATTAAATGGGGTGGGGGGTGTGTGTATGCATATATATGCACATGTAATTTTGTAACATTGAGATAAAATTTATCCTGTAATAGGAAACTGAGGGGAGAAGAGCTTGAGGGACTTAATCTGGAAGAGTTAATGAAACTGGAAAAATTGCTGGAAGGAAAATTAAGTCGTGTCCTAAGAACAAAGGTTTGTACCCTCTGGTTGTCTTTAATATTGTTGGTATTATCATGATTTCATCCATTTAGGACTATGCAGCACTAACACAATATTACATGTTTTTTTCATGAATTTTAGTGTGAGAAAAGTATAAAAGAGATTGGTGCTCTTAAGAAAAAGGTCAGTCTACTCCAAAATCTTGCATGAAATTTCGTATAGCTTATAGAATCAAAAGGCAAAAAAATGCATAAACGTTTGTAATATTTGTTTTAGCTCCGCTAGCCTTCCTTTTCAACTCGGAAGCACTTAGCTTTCCACTAATAACTTGCCATAGAGGACCTCAAAATAACACATTTTGTGCCTCTTTTGTTTATAGCTTCATATGCACATAGGTTGAATCAATCTAGTAGGATACTGGCTATCACTCCATTATTCATTGAGATTGGATTTCTCACTCACCACTTTTTGATTCATAGTGGTAGTAGATAGAAGTAACACAACAATTCTAAAGAAGGTCATTCATGGCTTCTAAACAATTTCTGACAAAATAAATACACTTTTACTTTACATCCCAAAATGAAAAGAAAAAACACAGCACAAAAGATAGGGAAGGTGGGCTTATGGACCCGTTCTAGCTTTTTGTGTCTAATCTCGGGTTGTGAGAGATTATTTTATATATAGGCTAAGTGTATAGACGGAGTAAACTTTTTAAGTATTGCTTCGTGTGGCCTTTATTTTTGGCATGTCTTGAACTTCATTGTATATCTTATTTTTTCTGTTTAATAAACTTAATTACTTTCCAAAAAAAATAATTAATCCGGCTCTTTAGGACACATTTAAGATTCATCGTAATATCCCCATTTTTAGTCAGTAAATTACCTTTTCAAGGATAAAGAAATTGAATAATACAACCTCACTAATGGGAATGCAATAATCTAATGGTCACCAAGGTTTGTGTTTGAGAATTCTTACAAAGCAAGACAAGTGGAAAAGTCTGCAATGCCAAGGTATCAATCAATAGTTACAGTTTTAAGCTTTGCAATTAGTTAGTATTGTTTCAGAAAGATGAGGGAAATAAGAAATTTTGGACCATGTACAAAAGTTTTTTGTGGCGGCATGTGTGTTTAATATGTAGGATGTTAGTACATAACAATGACTACAAATAAAAACTTCTAGGCTTGGCTTGGTGAATTCTCATGATTACAACATACGATCTCAGAGCCGATTCATGCAAACAACTGTGTGGATTTGGGGGCACTACAATGTGGGGTTAGTTGATCGAGGCTGACCACAAGTTGAGTGTGGTATTTGTGATTGGTTATGTGTTCCACTTGGGGACATGAGGGAGAAAATGATGGGAGATTGTGACGACTCGTATAGGCATGTGTTGAATTCTATATTAAAATTTTGAATGGGACCTTGGGTATAAATGTAAAAACATGAACTACAAAAGACAATTCATTGGCTAACTATTTTGGGTGAGTTCCCATGGTTACAATAGTTCTAATCTAGATAAGATGTGATCATAAGGCGATTTACATTCCATTTATAATTTTTACTTTGAATTCTTATCACTCTGCTTAATGAACATGCAGGAAGCCCAATTGATGAAAGAGAATGCGTTGTTGGAACAGCAAGTTAGATTTTCAGCGTTCCTTCTCTTTCTTGTATCAAAATACCAACTTTTGTAACTGTTTTTTTATCACAGTAACTTTCTTTCAATGTAAAGATGCGTTTCGGAAACACACTTTTAAAGGTTTTTACACTGAAAGTGTGTTTTCGAAATACGACTTTACGTAAAAGTCATGTTTTGAAAATACGCTTTTATTGAAAGAATTGTAATTTGGTAAAAAAGTTTGAAACTATAATTTATGGTAAAAAAATTGTGAAAAAAGACCGGTAGAAAGAAAATTAGTTAATGTTTTATACTACTGCCTTTCCTTAATTAATTTGAATTTCTGATTCCAGACTCATGTTGAAACCAATGTTCTTCCACAAGGGCATTCGTCATGGGCAATTGCCAACTACTCAGCTGATCCTCCTCAGGGCTACGACAGCTTTGACACTTCCCTCAAGTTGGGGTAAGATTATTTAGTTCATCTACTAGTAAACTTAACATAAAGTGTGAAATCTATGGAGTATTTTGAAATAATCTTGAAAATTCGGGTTGTCAGGTCTGCTAGGATTAGTATTATAGATTTTTGGAATAAGCAACAGTCTCCAAAGTTCGTTTTATTAAGCAAAGACATACATTTCGATAATATAGAATCCTCCCAACCATGTGTTTTTTGAACTCAATTACAACTTGCAATGCTAATCCGGATTTCATATAGATAGGGAATTTGGAATCTGTATGTGGAGGTTTACGCCGCACCCCCTTGTTCAACTACAGAATCGTTCAATGGTTGTGATCTTTGCATGTGAATTCTTCACTAGCTTGTCAAAACCTCAATGACTAGTATCTTGAGTTAATAACACTTTTAGTTCTTAAAGTATCAATTTTGTCTATAAAGTATTCAATCTGTGTCACTTTAGTCTCCAATTAAACAATCGGTCAAATTTTTTTATAAAAGTAATCACGTGTTATTTTTTAGATAGTATTACGTGTCCAACACGCGATCATTCTATCAAAAACTTAACGGTCCGTCTATATAACGACCAAAATGACACGAATTAAATACTTTAGGGACTAAATTGACAAAATTGATACAATAAAGACTAAATTGACAAAAAATTATACATATTTTAAAGATCAAAAGTACTATTAACCCGACTATCTTTCACTAAAACCTATAAGCCTAACTTTTCTCATCTACTTCTTCTGCAGCCCACCTTTCCCCAACTGAAATTTGAGGAACAGAGGAGGTTATCAGTAAGAAAGAAACAGTTTTTGATCACCCATCCAATCCAGTTGCAATCATATTATTGAGGGCACTTTTTTATTTAAATATATTTTACTTATTTTTGTATGGTCTATAGTTTGAAGTTCAGGCTTTCTGGGTAATATATATAAATAAATTGAAGCATTGAAATAAGATTAGGAATAATAATTCATGAAGAAGTTGATGAAAGTACATGGTCATGTGAGAGAGATGGGATGAACCAGCAGAGATGAGAGTCTCAGGCACTATGCAATGGTGTATGGTTAAAGGAGCGACGAGCAACAGCATTGCTAAGGCTACAGTTCGCTTAATATGGGTATTTGACAGTACAACATATATATTATCCATGCTTTGTTATGATAATGTTGTCTGATGTTTTCTATTATACATGTAAATTTCAGAATCATTGCTTGATTGAGATGGAGAAACTGTTGTACACTGTCCAAAAAAGAGTGTTTTTTGGGGGCAAATTATATTTTGACCCTTTTTAGTATGGAGTTGATTTTACACACCGCGTCACCGGTATTTGTTGCACACCAAAGAATCTGGTATTTGTTGGATATTATCAAACATAATATCCAAACGTAGTAATTCTAGATTTAGGAATGAGATACCCATTCTTACCCAAGATTACCGCCAACCAAACATGATCTAATTCCCATTTAAAGAGTGGGTAGCATAGTAGTAATACCAAATTTGTATCTACTTTTAACCTCTATTATTTTATTTTATTTTGTTTCAACGGTCAGAGTGTTTGGCCAATTTATATGTATCTCGAGCAATCTTCTCTTTGGTCCAATTAAAGACAAATTATTCATGTCGGAACTAAAATATTCGTGAAAAATAAATCTCTTATGGCCTGGTCCAAGAGATTGTTAAGATTTAAACTCAAGATATCTAGGTTTACAACTCGTTCTTATTATCATTTGTTAAGGTTATTTTTATATGTTGTTCATCAGAGAAAAAGATATGTTTTTTCATATATTTATTATTTTTAAATCATTACAGACGTTGGCACTGTAGCTTTATCTATCTAGTAATTGATTACAAAATGAAAAGCACTAAGCACCTGCTTTTGCTTCCAAGCATCCATGGCTGCTAAACAATGCCATGTTATGGTGTTCCCCTGGATCGCATGTGGGCACGTGCTGCCGTTTCAACCCCAAAAATCTGCAGAGATTGCAACATTACAATATTTACTTGGGAGTTGGGGCCACCAGACGAGTTAAAGTCTGGTATCCGGCGAACAAGCGGCCCGAACATTTCACAAAGGCACCGGATTGGAACACTTTCCCTTTCTCACCTAAATTAGGAGTGTTAAACGTGTCAGATTAAACGGATAACGGATAAAAAATATATAAACTCGTACATGACACATTTAATAAACAAAATAAAAAATTTTAACATAAACATAAACCGTTTAATAAATAAATAATACAACACAACTCATTTAATTTTATTAAAATTTTAACTTATATACCAAAAAATTATTTTATTAAAATTTTAAACTTCATTAATTATCTACAACAATTGTACTCTCTTAATTAAAAATTTTCTAATTGGCAGCAACTTGTAAAAGTAAATGAGAAGGTTAAATGACTAAAGAAAAGAGTTGCAACATTTTATAGGCATGGGAGGTCTCTTTGATTTAAATATACCGATGTGGGATTCAAGTCAAGCCAAAACCTTTCACGTGCAGACCCACGAGAAGCTTGATTGAGAGATTCAAATGCCTTTTCACTGTGTAGATATTCAAATGTGTTTTTACTGTTTTTTTTTTTGTTTGAATTAAGATTTTTCTTTATTCATTTACCATATATTTGTATATAATATTTTAATTTTGACTAAAATTTTTTAAATAATTATTAATTTATTATTATATTAATTTTTTTAAATGGATGATAAATGGGTTGACAGGTCTCACCCGAACACGATCGATTTATTAAACGTGTTTAATGGGACAACTCGTTTATCACCCGAACTCGTTAAGGTTTCACCCAAACCCGCTTAATTCGTGTCAATTAATCATGTCGTGTTGGACTTTGAAAGGTCTAGGCCTTACTATGCATCAAGAATGCTGTGAAATACGCGATATACCAACATATTTGACATTTCAAGTGGCCAAAGGATGTCTACCATGGTGAAAAAATGCGAGTGTCACTCCCTCAATAGACAGTGCACACAGATTCTTCTTTCATTTTCAATACCTTTCGGATCGGAAAGGCGGGCTGCTAGTGTGGTTGAAGTATATCACTCTCCTTGAGGAACTCTTCCAACCAATTGGTGTGCTCCCACCAAATTTGGTGGAACACAGAAGTAATAAAGTTGTTGATTCAAACTGGTCTAGCACTATCAAATGGTTGGATAAATAGAAGGCAAAGTTTTTGTGGTGTTTGCAATTGATCTTACCATGCTGCCATTTATATGGATTCTTCGATATTACTGCCTCGTGATTTTTTGACTCGAACGTCTGACCGGGGTGTGGTCAATCTTGGTTGCACACCCCGATTGGAGATACTTGCTCATGCTACCAGTGGAGGACGTCTCATCCATTCTGGTGGTGACGCGGATGCCAAAGCCATGAGATTAGTGATAGAAGAGCCAGAGGGAGGGTTCCTAAGATTGAAGGCTACTCAGATACAAACTGTTTTGTAATAACATTGGTATCGATTTTTTTTCCGATACCGTAGAGTTCTCCATCAGACTATATCCATGGAGGTCATTTCGGGAACGTTAAATTAGGGCCAGCACAACTATAAACTATTGCACAACGGCCCAAATACGGAAGGCATCATTACTGCCACCACCCACTAAACAACTTCGAGTGGTCAGAACTCTTAACCCTCACAAAGAGATCAAGACACCTAAACTTGACCGTCACAGACCACTTGCTGCAAGCTAAAAAATCAGGAATTCAAAAAAAGATAAAAAATACTGTGTATCGACTTCTAAAAGAAATTAGACCAACATGAGCAATACAGTTTGTCATATTGTTGGAGGAAGCGGAGCATGACAGACAGCCCTTATGGATACAATTTGAACAAGAGCAGATGGATCCATAATCAAGTGTGCGAGACCATTTGCTAAAAAAGAAACAATTATACGACAAACTAAAAAATCGAGGGTTTGACTCGAATGATGCAATCATGGTATATGCTATAGTCGACACACTTCCACCAACATTGCCTATAAAAAGCTTCCATAAGAAGTTACAAGAAAGATTTTCTAGATATGAGGGCCTGCGATATTTGTTAGAGGAAATCGACAGAAGATGTACAGAAAATAGAGGGTGGATTCATATTCCATGGGTTTTTTATTAGTAAGACAATTGCATATATCGGAACCACTAGCCTCTACACACACACTGTACAATTTTACAAAAGAGTTTTTTTTTTTTTTTGAACTACAAATATAATATATTACTGTCAACTATTCAGGTTAAGAAAGCAGCTCAGAATCAGATGAAACAATATAATCATTCAAACATGAGATTCATTGGAGATGTGCACGTCTCACTTTCCAAAGCCTAACCCCTCAGTTTGATCATTGAGATGGCATTGGGTTGCCAAAGTCTAAAGTCCTATCTACAATTAGCAGTGCTTCAAGTTCCTCTCTACGACGTTCCAATTCCTGCAATTGTTACCCAAAAGGAAGTTACTAATCCAATTCCTACAAAATTATCTTCAATCAAAAATAAAAAAAAAAGATCAAAAAACAATTGTCAAGACTACTTCAAATTGTTGACATAAATCTCCACATACTCCATACAAAATCTAAGAGGAAATTGAATATGTAACACAACTCTAAACCATCCCTTATCCCAGCACCCCCCATCCATGATCCATCCTCCTTACCACTGATAAAAGAAATATACTCATAGAACTACAATATTCAGTAGCAGGAACACTATAATGACTATGCATTTATGTACAGATCACAGCACCCGAAGTTTGACGCTTACGATGACTCAGCAATCACTCTGAAGCTCATTACTGTCCCCCTAGGTAACCCCACCCCTAGCCTAAAAACCCAAAAGAAACCAGTTGAAAAAACAAAAACAAAAAAGAATCTTCTTTTAAGCTTTAGACATGAGTAATGACACTTGAGCATCACAATGGGCCACTTCAGCATATCGTCAGTAGATCAAGACTGAACACTAGATGGCCTTCATCAAAGAAACCTTATGCACAGAATTTCATTTGAACCAATGTTTCTAAAACATTGGAATAGAAGTCATCCATCAGCGTTTCGGTTAGGGATAACCAAAAGGTTCAATTTTTCTGAGTGTTCTAAATCCATTTAGAACTGGTTTCGCATCTTCTACTAGCAAGCAACAAGTTAAAGGATGAGATGTTGTCCGAGGTTCCAGATTTGGTCTTCTACAAAAATAAATCACGGCCCGCGTATACAAAAATTAATAATAATAATTGCAAACAAAAGGGCGGACATGTAATATGGATTAAAGTCCAGTTTAAACAGCAGCATTTTAAAACTATGGCAACACAGTAGATTACCTCAAGATCCTTAACTGCTTGCTCTCTTGAAACTTCTTTCTTCTGGCGAGCACGTTTGACAACCCCAATGCATAGAATTCCCTGAAAGTTGATAGACTGAGTATGGTGTATCATAAACAAAAGAAACCAAATCCTAGTTCAAACTAGAAGCTGTTTATCAAACAATAAAACATTTTGTCAACAGGAGGTAACAGATATCAGTAATAACACAAGTAGATTGCAGATGGTCACACAGAAGATGACGTATGCAAATTCCTAAAGTACTTGTATGTATGCATTAGTTTCAAGATAAAGGCATGTATAATCGACTGTTTGATTAATCCTACCAATATAACGTAAACCACACCACAGGCAAGAAGCAGGTAGCCTGCTATGTTCTGAAGGAGAACAAGCTCTTTCCGCTTCTCAGAATAGTCAGGGTAAGCTCTGGTCATCACTGCAACACTGAAGGGGACAAAAGTAATCAATAACTTCAAAAATCAAACTAAAACTTGGGATTTTTTTGGTTGGGGCAGCCCGCGGGGGGGCACAAGTGTGCATGCGATTGTTCCAGTGATTGCTTCTCAAAATATTAAGGACGCCGCTATCCAGAAAGAATTGTCACTATCTTATCTATGCGAATAGAAAGTGAGTCACTTTCTGCCGACTTATGATCAAACAACTCAACATAAAACATAAACTTGTACCAATAATTTTGGGGTCGGCTACATGAAGACTTATGATCAACCAACACCCTTTTTTTTTTAACCTTTATTTCCTTGCAACTAAATTCAAATCCAAATCCAACTCACACAAGCTAAATAAAATAATTCAAGAAAAATTAAAAATGATGACTAATTAAAACAATACTCAGGTCCTCCTTGGGTCGATTATGTCTAGGACTGTAACCCAAGGACAAGTCATCTGGAGGGGAAAAATAAATTGAAGAGATAGTACAAGACGTTACTTAAAATTACACAATAGACAAGATCTGTAGCATACCCCTCCCGCGCCCAATACTCCAAAACCTGCACCATGGTGATTGAAATTTAAATAAAATAATGTGAGCTATCTTAACACCAAAAAAAAACAGCAGCAGTGGTACTAGCAAGCTTGTGTGCTAAAAGGAACACCAAAGAATGATTTAGAAGTTGAATTTGTCAAGGAAAGCCAATGACTACAGCAAAGTGATACACATAGGTACAAATATATAAATAAGCGATTTGCCAATAAATCATTTAGTGTGTATGTAATTTTTCAAGAAAAGGCAGATCATAACTTGTCTATTGCATAAGTTGCCATTAAGGCC